CCGGCGGCCCTGCTCGCCAGGGCCAACACGGACTGATAGGGATACGACATACCAACAGTAAGACCGGGATATTCGACAAATATTTTCCCCACTCGAGAATTGAACGCGCGTCCCATGCGTGAAACAACGAAGCGCCTAACCGCTTCATAACAGACGCTGGTTGCTTTCTATCTTTTTTTCTCTTTTTTTGGCTCACCTTCAAATTTTTATTTTTTTATTTTTTAAACTTTTTTGCTCACCTTCAACTGTTTTTTAAGCCTTTATTTTCCTTCAGGTTTTACAACAACAACAAAAAATCACACCACAAGATCCATTTACTCCGGGCTCATTATTAGTCCCCCTCTTGCTCTCACAGATTCATTCGACAAATACACTTGCGGCCCATCACCGTCCGCTTTTTCTTTCATACCCCTCCCTCCTTCCTCTCCCTCACTCGCATACACATATTTATTATTATGATTCTCATTCGGTCACTTGCATTCCAAATACAATTTCATTTTGTTTAATAATTCATTTTATATCGTTCACTCCAGAGCTGTGTTCTCTTATACATTTTCGACCCCTGGTTGCTTTCTATCTCCGATATATATGAGTCTGAACGAGTCTCGAAAGTGGAGATAAATGAAAACTCAAGTCGTAGACTTCACTTTTGTGGTTCAAAACAGGGTGGCTGATGCCAAAAAGAACTGTGGGCGCGCCCACGCTTTACATTTCAGATTCATCATCTCGCGTCATGGTCGACTGCGTGCAACATGCCACATGAACATAAAGTGGACAGAAAAACCCACGAACTGGCCACAAATAAATTTATAACAACAGCTACAACCTTCTACATCAATAAAAACTTTAAGACGTCGATACTCTATATTTAGCCGTAAAAACGAGCATGAATCACATTTCGATCACGCGATCTCTGTGCCAGTGGTATAGACGGGAGCAGTGTTCACGACTTCAGGGCGCAGTTAACATGAGAAGAGAGGAAATCAGGTGGTTCATAGCATGAGCAGAACAACAGCACATTGCGGAAACACGTGAGCCTTTGTGCGAAAACACATTTTAAATGTGTGTCCGCTGAAAAAAAAGATATGCCCAAAATGTCCATAATGCATGTTTCATTGGTCGTTTTTTATGCTCAAAATACATTTTGAGGTTTCTGCATCTACGATAATGCACTTGGTACTGCCACGTGGGGAAGCTCACGGCAGTGTCTGTCCCTATTCCTGACTCTGTGACCAAAGCGCCGTTGACACAACAAACCCAGCTGTAGCATGAAGTATTCATGAATGAAAATTGCTGGCTCGCTCATCATTACTTCGGCTTATGCCCTTCCTAACACATACTTCCCACTTAAATTGTATCTAGTCGGGTCTTCGTACTCCGACAATATGGAAAAAGTTCATTTTCCGTATAGAAAGGGTGCCAACACGACGTATCTTTTCGCATTGCGCCCGAATGATGCACCACACAATCATTTGATATCAAATTCATTGGGGGTCTATATTGATCTGTCCTCACGGAGACGTTAAGCAGCGAACTTTGTATAATTTTAGTAGTTTTTAGTTTTAGTAAGACGATTACGGCAATCAATAAATTCACACGCTGGCCACGTAAGTGCATAAGATTAGAAGAAGTACTTGAGATAAACATACAAAACACGAAGAAAGAGAGAAAAGAACGATAATCGTTAGACAGAAAGGAAGGAGCACACCACATCAGAGCGTCCGACAACCATTCACAAATACATCATTTTAAGTGCCAATGATACTAGAGAGTAACCTACAAAGAAAGGAAGGAGAGATAAGGACCATAGATGTCTGATATGAGAGAAGGAATATATCAAACTAGAGCGCCCACCAACCAACCACGCGTCGGACTTCGGTGTAGCATTAGAGTCGTACCTTTATACGTCCACAGAGTCGCATTGTCTGCACACCCCATAACGATCCGAAAAGCGTACACAGAGTGTGAGTTTATGAAGAGGGCACGTTTAAGATGTTGACACGTGCCCCCACAGTTTGTGCATGATGCGTAATGGTTTGCCATCCATAATTCAACCATGCCCCAAAAGCACCACGGTCATAAAGTCCAAAGACAGGGGAACCGTGTGGCTATCCACACCAGACTTTAGAGTGGAAGCGAGGCGGAGGACATAAAAAGTAAGGAGTGACAGAGCGAAAGAGAGATAGAGAAAGAGAGAGAGAAAGAGAGAG